ATGGGGGTCTGGTACACCTGACATTTAAATTAAAAATTCTAGCAGTTAGACAGTTGATATTTAGATTTCTATAAATATATTTCAGTGTTTCCCTTGAATTTTCATCTATGTAAGCCAATGACCTAGACAGAGATAAAAAGAATTTTAACAACTTACTTGCAACAGACGTCTAGAATTCTCTTATACACAAATAATAAGAAAACCTTCATCCTGAATCAAGAAGGTAAGACTACAGCATTGGATTGAGTAGAAACTTTCCTGGTCAAACTTGTGGGAAAAGCGGGGGTTGCTTTCTTAATGTGAGTTGTTACAGATGTCCTAGAGAAATTGCCTACACAGATTTTACCCACTGCTGCTATTCCAGTGCAAGTCTGTCACGGGATTAAAGGAAACCACAGCAATACAGTTTGCTGCAAAGACAAATGCCATTTTTATCTACAAGACTGTACTTCTCTTGCCAGCACTAAGTGCCTGGCAGCCACAAAGCAAACCAAATCAGGAAATTCATGTGGCTGAAATTTAACCCTCCCTGCCCTTTCAGTTGTTCTTCTGCTGGATCAATTCCTTTATCTGGATTGCTTTAGAAACACTATCCCTATCACAAGGGAAGGGAGGGAGAAGATGGAGGGAAGGTAGAGAGACAACAACGCGCCCTTTCAGTGACAGAAGAAACTATTATACAGTGATCATGAAAATAGTCTCAGATTACATCCATAATGACGAGGAAGTTGTTTAGAATTTCATGTAATCATCTTTCCACTATCAGCTTGAGACCATTTTTTGTTACAAATCTGTGCTCTAAGTTATTCTCTTCTTATTACAGAAGGAGGTAGGGAAAAAAATGAAACTGGTATTACAGGAAAATAGCTAGCAAGTCCATTTTATGCCCCAAATGTTTTACCAAATATCTTCAAATAAGCGAATTTGATATTAAGCATTAACCCCTCCTTGTGTGTATCTAAAAGAACCTGGTCAGAGAATACTGCACTCTGACAAAAAGGGAAATAGTAACTGAATTCAGAATTCTGCAATTTAGACTTAGAATTCTGACAGGTATACTAAGAATGGAAAAAAATAAATAGTATAACATATAAATTCACTGTACACTAGCTGTCCTAAATTTAATATTTTGATCTTATCAGCCAAATCAGGCTCAAGTAAATCTACTGATCTATGTGGTTTCACACTTGAATCTGAAGAGGACAGCTTAATAGAAGCTGAAAATGAGATGACTGCTTTTGATCTCTGGGGAAGAAAATTCTCTGACCTCATAATCTTTTAGGGCAGGGAAAAAAAACACATCAGCAAAACTACCATTTTGTAGAACCACACAGCACAAATATCTACAATAAAACTTCAGTAAAGTCTACAATGTACTAATACATCTTGATTAATTTTATCCTAAAAGATTGACTGCTATTCTCAGTATTTCTTAAATGTGTTTGACTATCTATGTCTCCTTATTCATCTTCTTACTGCAGATGAGCACAATGAAACTTCTAAATCCTCAACTGAGAGGCTGAGAACAGAAGAAGGAAAAAGTGTATTTAGTTTGATTCATTATTAAACCTGAGCAGCCCCAAGAGTCACTCTTTTTTTGCAGGACTCCCAGCTCCATTTTGCTCTCTACAATGACCACTGCAACTTCTGACCAAGTAAGCTGTCTTTAGAAGACACCCTCCCAGATGGCACACACATTTGGTGGTGGATCTATATACCAGGACAGCTGAAGCAGTCACTACCTCCTGTGATCCTCCTCTCCTTGCAGAAATGGGGATGGCTGAACAGCTTGAAAATCAGTTCCTGAACTGTGAGACTGCAACTCAATGCATTAATGGAAACCAACAGCAACTTTATTTTAAACGTCTTCATGTATTAGGCTGCAAGCTGCAATGGTTCAGGAGCTGCTTGCAAACATTGTGGCAGTCCCGACGACTCCTGCAACATGGGTAAGGCAAAACATCTAAGCTGGGATACACTGCAGTGTTTTCTGCCATCAAACAAGTTACTTCCCAGAAAACTGTTTAAAATGTTCTTCCCAGTTAGTCCTAAGCAGGTATTTCCACTCCAGAATATGAGTGTCTTGCTCTCATTCCAGTTAATACGTGTTAAAGCTGAATACAGTTCACATGGAAAAAGGGCTACTCTGAAACTGCTCTTCATATGTAACTACTTCAAAAACACTCTTTAAGTATTTCAAGACGAACAGGATAAAAAAAGGACATTCTTCCTCACAGGGTTCATGATCAGAATTAAAAACTCTACCCTTCAGAGATGCTAAAAACAGGAGTATAAAATCTTGGCTAATGGGTAATTCGATTGAAGTTTTGCAACAATTTTAAGTATATCCCTCAAAAAAAGACGTCTCTCCATGACTGGTAAGTATTCCAAATTTTTCTTTGGGTTTCTAAATGCACAATAAATCAGTTCAAAACATTACACCATTTCATGTTGGGAATTACCTCAACTTGAACAAAAGCAGCATACGTTTCTCAAAAAGTATGGTAAGTTTTAGTGAATAAAAATGCAAATATGCATTTTAGCAGCCTTGAATTTATTAATCTGATAGGTTTAATTTCCATTTTCCTGCATCAGCTTTATTTATAAAGTGTCGTGCCCTATAAATATGCTGTTATTTTCTATAGTCAAGCACCCTCTTAACAAATCTTCTCATTAATATGTAAATTTAAAGTCAATCGGTCTTCTCCCTGACAGCGCCATGAATTCCTAGTGCACTGTATAATCGGCTTTGACTTGGTATCCACTATTTATCATCAAAGATGTCAGTTAGAAAAACTATGGAAAATGCACTGCAATTGATATGACTGCAATCTACTTTGTCAACACTTAATTGTTCTTCAAATCATACATTTACATATAAACAGCCTAAATACTAATCCATAATGATGCAAATAAACTAAATTAAAAATCTCTTCTACTGCACAAATGCCCTGTTGTATGATGAGTTCATTTAAGAACCTATTGACAAATGCATGCATTTCAACTAGCCCCATAAAAAAATTCTGTTAATTTAATTGCTGAGTAGGTAGACAGACTAAATTCTGCACTGAAGCTCATGAAAATGGAAACAAAGTGTTATTAATACTATACCACTGATGACCAATTTTAGGTTGAGACAGACAGTATTGTTACATAACTTTTTACATTCCTAGAGCAGAAGCCACAGCAAGAACTATCACCCACCCAGTTTCAGTGAAAAAAGCACATTAGAGTCTAAAAGCAACATAGTCCCACCAAGACCTCCAACCTCTAAGTTCAAGACAGGAGGTCATCTCCTTCTACTCTTCCTTTGTCCAACCACAGACTAAAACGGCCTTCAATCAATAGTGAAACTGTAGCTTTAGTCAAAGTAAATTATAAATTTTGATTCTTTCTAAAGGTCAGAGTTAAAAATGCAAGTTACCTTCTTCAATAAGCAATATGTAAAAAACAATGTGCCTGAAGGACTTTGGGAAAACATGGAACTAAAGTGTCTTATTATCTAAAAATACTTTCCTTATTTTAAGCAATTTTCTTGAAAGATGTGTTCTTATAAACAGTTTAATTTTCACCTGAAATGAAAAAGGGTGTTCCAGAACAACTCGTAGTGCAAAAAACATGGTTCTACTTCTGATATTTTTGTTATATTTCTAGTTTTCTAATCACCATAAATCCTGCTTATTTAAGAAGTAATTGTAAACTAAACCAGGCTGAAATCAGCTGTTTGTCCAAATACATCTCCATATAATTATTTTCGCATCGTACATATATTAACACAGAATGCCACTGCATTTCAGTCTGATTCCCAGGCAAAGGCTATTGGAAGACAGAGTTTGAAAGAACTCAGTAATAGCCAGTGTCATTCTGTATTCCAATGCTGAAAAAAAATAAACCTTTAAAAAAATGTTAATATGCTAATTACAAACCAAAATAAACTGCACTGACATAACAATGCCTGAGCAGAAGTGTTAAGAAACATGGGCTAAGTCACAGCAGAACTACTTTAAAAAAAAAAAGATTAAAAATCTTTAAAAATATTTTTTAAAAAATCAAATGATTGAACTTCCCCTAAGGTTCTGGGATCACCTTATATTCATTACAAGTAGGTGCCACAAACATCCTTTTATACAACTGTCCAAAGGCTATCTGCAGCTATTGCTGTAAAATAGTGTCTATATAACCAATTAATATGTAAATCTTTAAACACGAATTAGTTTCAAATTAAATGGTAAAACTTACCAGTATTAACACCCCCAAGCCTGTATTCAACACATCCAACCAGAGATGTGAAGCAATTTCATACAGTCCTTTCCAGAACTATTCTTTTAATCTACATCATTATTCAGAGTTAAATCCTTATTGAAAACTAGGTCAAGAGCATGAGTTTCTTGAGCTGCCTGCTTTTTTGTTGTTAGAAGTGACAGGATTTGTATTCTGAACACGCCTTTTCATAAATTTTAAGAAAGAAAATACTCATATTTACATAATATAAAAGAAAATACCACAACATTTTTTACATTGCCCATTTCAAAAACATATATTCAAGTCTCCACACAGTCCCTCAGCACATAACAAAGCCTAGACAAGTAACGTAATGTTCACCAGGCTGTGATACTGGTTATTCATATCTACAAATAAAGTAGATACTACCCAGTTCCAGGACAGAATGGCAAACCTTTCCAGCTCTGACTCACATAAAAACTCCTAGAGCAAAGAGCCATGTTGCTCAAAGAATGACAGAAAAAGGACTCTCTCTGCTACCCCATGGGATGGGCCTGGGGTAAATCAGAACAGGTTATAGTCTGGAAGGAGAATTCCCATGCTCTGAAGGGTGCATGCCCTGTGTTAGTAAAGCCTTGGAGAGCTAAGACATACACACTTCACTTCTATTTTTATTAAAGTCTGCATAAAAATTCATCTTAAAAGACCAACTATGTCCAACAATGGAAATAATTCAGAATGCAAGCACACAATAGTAATTTAAAAAGTCACAAACTTACCTTCCATGGGCTTACAAACTGTGTACGTGCATATCGAGTTAACATGTGGATTATAACAACTTGACCCCACTCTTCCACATCAACCAACAGGTTACAGAGCTTTCGGTAGTTCTTGTGAATCAGATCTATTCTATCTGGACACACTTCCTCAAACGCCATCACAACGCTCCCAGCTACCAGCTAGAAAACAAAATACAAGCCAGAAGGTCAATGTTCCTTCTACAGTTCATCCACAAGTGAGAATCAGAATTAATACTAGCCATTCTCAGCAATTTCAAACTGTTTCTATTTAATGAAAAAAAAAAAAAAAACCAAAACAAAAAAACGCCTAAGCCCACAGAAATGGTATCTTATTTCAAATAGAACTGGGGTAAGTTTATTAGAATGGAGAAAACATTTGCTGTTTCTATTACACACATAAATCTCAGCTCCCAGCCCCAAAGACACAGTGCAATGTAAGCATAAATTTTTTTTCTTACAGTTACAGTTTCCAAAGAAATTATCAGAGAACTTGCAATTAACTCAGAAATAACAGGAAACTACAAGAAGTATAATACAGCAATATGCCCAACAAGGTCTACTGGGATTCTCTTACCAAAACTGTCATGATCAAACTAAAGAGAAGCCGGGGTAAGTTTCCCAGCACTACTGGGATTCAAACTTCTCTCTTGATATGGCCAAATTAACTGTCATATGAAATTTTATATTTAGAGTTTCATTAACACACTTTGCAAAAAATGGCATAAAAATCAGCAATACAATACAGAGATACATTAATACTTTTCCTCAAAGAACACAAGCAGACTTTCTGCATGCTGTTAAGCACTTCCCTACCAGTTCCAAAATTACAGGAATAGATCATTTATGCCCTGCTATGTCCTCAGACAATTTTTTGTCTCCATAAGAAATAAATCTTTATATATACACTAAGATTCTCATACTGACTATGATTATAAAAATAGCTTTGTTTTTACGAGAAAATTAAACAGATTCTCAACATTCTAACACCTCAAGGCATACTGAAACCCTCTGGTAGGGTATTTTCTTTTAAAAATAAAGACAGGAAACATATATTGGGATTCCTTTTAAAATTCTGGCAGCAGATTACTTTAACAGTGGGAAAACCTCAAAAGCTGACCATGCATTATAAAGACATGTCATTGTGTGCCTGGAATTACTGTTCTTTCTCTTCTAATTGCTTTAATTAAGATTTGTTTTGTGTCAGAGTACATGTTAAGTCAAATAACTAAAATGATGAGACTTTATATGAAGCAGATGATATGTATGCAGTTAGCATGCATGCAGTATAGCCTTCTGGCAGCAAATTAATGTCATATTCATCTGAGCACTGGGGATCTGCATTTCAACCTCTAAAATTTCCCCAATGACTTAAAGTAAGCAATTAAATAGAAGTGTAGCTTATTGAAATGGTACTTTTTGAGAAAAATTAAATACAATGATATTCGTATGTTACATTTTTCTCCCTGTATTTGGCTGACATTTGGTTTATTAGTATGCGCCCAACATTACAATTGAAAGAAAACAGCTCAGAATATAGTCTTGCTATTATGCTAAACAAGTTTCAGGCTCTGTGGGGATTTTATAAATTACCAATAAGAATAAACATGAAATTGCATTTATTGTCTCCAGCCCCATCCACATACTGGTACCTGCTGGTCCCAGCAAGTATACAACTGATTCCAGAGAACAAAATCTAATTATTTGATAGAGCTAAATAAAACACACTTTACATCCAAAATAATGTGCTATTTTTTGCTGCATCGCAAGAAGAATGCCCCTTTTTTATGTTGTTGTACTAAACTTTCTTCTTATTAACATGCTGCAGTAAGCTACTCTGTAACTAAAAACTGCTGTGAGTTGACACTTAGGTGTGGACTCAATGCTCAGCAGAAGACAGTGGTTAACTCCAGGCAAATCACTATCTGTCCTGAGTAGGTATTCTATTAGGCCAGGTAAGCTGAGGATGGAAGAGACGAAGGGTGGGAAGAGTTGTATGTTAGAACTCTCTTGCAGCAAAGCAATTTTATCTGGATGCAAAACAGAACTACAGCTAAGGCCAACTTGCAGAGGACAGTGTGACGGACCTGAAGTTTTAGAAGAAAGGGGTGACACATTTAGATCACAGAGACTGTTTTTAGGTCACTGTCCCATGGACTTAATTATGGATATTCTGCTCCTCCACACTACAAGACAGTATAGGGTCTCTTGACAGGTTTGACATACAAGGAGAGAAAAGGACAGAGGGAAGGAGGGGGAGAGAGACTGACACACAGATCGATTTATGACTATAAGAACAGTTGCAGCCTAATATTTAAAAATACCCTTTTAGGTTCATAGGTGAAGGACAACACAGATGCTGGTGTCCAAATGCAGTTCTGGAGCAGATATCCTTGACTTTTACTGCTACTAGTACTGCACACACATTTTGCTGTTTTTCATTTGGATATGATAGAGTTTGAAAGCTGACATAAAACAATACATATAACACTAGTTTAGATCTTTCAAAACTGAGCTCATATCCTAGGAACAGTGCCAGCTTTTTAGAAGTTCAGTTACTGTGAGAAAAATACAACAATTTGATACAAATAAATAGTTATACTGAAATATAGGAATTCTAAATAATTACTTAATTCAATTCACATCAGTCACCTACTCAAGTTTACAATGAGAATGCTGTGAACGCTTAAAAGATGTTAATAAAAATTTGAAAACACACACACAAACACACACGCACACACCCACACCGACACCAAAATGAAAGAGGTGCACCGGATGAACAAGCACTTTATTCCTGTGGCGAGTCCCTAGATTTACAAGTTAATACAGGAATTGTCCTACATCATGACGCTATTTAAGAGCATGACCCTCTCCCCATTATTGCATTTTCCAAAATTAGGCTCTTCATTTGAAGAGTGCAAAAAATTAAGAATGTAAGACAGATTGAAAATGCACTAGTAGCAAGAGGATTTATTTGAGAAAATTTCTCAGAAAAATTCTCATAAAATTTCTGTGAAAATTAGGCTTTTCATTTGAAAGGGGGAAAAAAATTGAGAATGTAAAACAGACTAAAAATGCACTAGTAACAAAAGGATTTATCTGAGAAAATTTCCTAATGCTTTCTCAATAAGATATTATTTTCTAGTTGACACTGTATCCCCCGTAGTATGATCCTACTATACATCTAAACATCAGAGAAACAGCTAATAATCTTTGTTTATTAAATGCTCAACATTCCATAAAAATATTTAGAATTAAAACAAAACGATCCAATCAGAATACAAAACCAAAAAATATTGGTTTCCAAAAAACAGTCAGTTAATTTCCATCTCACTGTGTCAATAGTAGCTTTTTGTATAAGGAGAAAACATAAATCACTCCAACAAAACTAGCAATGAGCTCATCAAATTCAAATGCTGCTTTCCATTTATGTATTTTTTATATTAAAGCAATAAACATGGCTCATTTGTCTTCCACTGGTTGCCACGTTTTCCTGTGCTGTTGCTATGAACTTCAGGCATTAGCTGTGCTCCAAGGTAAACTACATGAACCATCAACAAAAGTGACACCCAATCTATGGAGTTCATATTTTCTCCAGATTATCTATGCTAGTTGACAAGCTGGTAATGAAAAAAATAACACTAAGCAAATGGTTCCTCTAATAACAATAAATTTTCTATAAAATTATGAAGGGTACAAAACGTTTCCTTGCATCTATTTTGTCATGAATTCTAATTAACGCTGCAAAAACCTGAGAGTGCTGGGTCATCACAAGAAGTGCATCGAGGTTTGATTGATAATACAGTGCAAGTTGGCCTATGCTGCCAGGATTCCTCGCTCTTAAATTAATGGCCACCCCAACTGCCCTAATCATACAGCCCAAATGATATTTCCCTTCTTATTTCAATTTTCTGGAGGCAAGGAAACTTGAAAAGATCAGTCATTTATCTTCTAATAGCTGGATAATAGATCTATCACAGTAAGACATCTGCACAAACTCAGTGATTTTTTTTCCACAAAAGTGAAGCTTTTACCAACATTAAATCAATAAGTTAAGAAAACATTGTCTTATCTACACATTTGAGTTCTAAACTAAAACATTAACTTATTAACAGAAGTCTACTGATGAAAAGTGGAGATCCTATCTTTATTTCCCCATTATCCCAAATACACTGTTCTAGTTTAAATGATCAAGACCTTAATTGCAAAGCCATCACCAATTCCTAGGATAATTTTTTTAATATAAGGGGTCTCACTTCACAAGACTCTTTACTTCAACTAGTAACCATGCAGTCTGCAAAAGAAATCTCAAGACTCACGTGTTTGTCTGTCTTTTCACCCCTGAAATAGAATTCATACTAAGTTGCATCTGTTATATTTAGGAGTAAATTATCATACCAGAACAGAATAATAAATTTATTTTAATATTAGAAGTAGTTTAATGTGATTAAAATATCCCCATTAAAGAAAAAAACATTATTTAAGCAGAGGCTAAAGGAAAATTCAGCCTTTAGGAAGGTGTGTAAATCTTAATTACCAATAAACAGATTCCATGCAATAAGCTAATTTACTGTCAGTCTTCACCCAAAACTTGCCTCTATTCCTTCCCATACTACTTCACAGCAGAAGTTTCTGGGGACAAAACATCAAGAGTACATACTTGGAATCAATGAGCATTTGCAAGCCTGGCCAAAATGTTTTGAAATTTCTCTTTAACATTGTCTTGGAAGAGTTCAAAAGCAGTGTTGCATTCTGCATACTAGCTGGTCACAGAACAGAAGCTATGACAGCAACAGCTACAATATTGCACAAAATATATGAGGCCACATACTGACCCAGTTCTCTGGATGGGGCTGAAAAAAATTCATTTTATCATGCAGCACTTGCATCTATATTTCCACATAAACATCATAAACCTTCCTAATAACAGAGTATCTGCCCAAACAAAATAAAATCAAGTTAAAGACAAAAACCTGCAATATATTTGGACATTTTTAATATGCCCAGAACCCATACAACTACATCCCAGCTACAAGTCTACATTCTGCCTTTTCTTTTTAGATGCAGCTTTAGATACACTTTGGGATACTTCAGTTTGGACTCAGGAATGCAAGTCACAAATTGCTTTCACTTTACAGGTTTGGACAAGGCACATGATTCCTTTTCAATATCCACATATTTGTTTTGGGTTTTTTTCAACGGCTGTAACTCAGGTATCCACTAATGAACTTGATTTTTATTGTCATTCACACAGTCAGAGTTGTAAAATACACAGGCTACAAGCACAACGCAGTTCTACAGTCCTTCATAGTATGCTAAAAGCAACTTAAGCAGAAATCCTGCCTTAAACCCTATGCCCCAAAGTGAGATCATCAGGCTTGTTAAGTGAGTGGAAAAAATAGAATTAGTGTGCAGTGATACAGAATCAACCATAAAGAAAAAGGAAACTAGCTTCCTCTAAAATACCCAATTATGCCTTCACACATTACCACGTGACTAGCTACATTACTTTTGAGAAAATAATTTTTGCATAAAATACACACATGCTCTTCTCTTCTTTTCTACGTAAAATCATGTCAGCTGTCTAGAATTACTATCTAGAATTACTAGGAAAATAAAAGGAGCAGGTACTCGTGTTCTTGTATCTGCTTATCAAAGTCTGAAGTACTTTTATCTGTAAAGCAATGGTAAGAATATAACTAGGAGTTTCTTACATCTCTGTAATAAAAACACTTGTGAATATATTGTCTGTTTAAAAAGTTAATACACTGGCACAAAATCACAGCTTTGTTGATACACGCTAATTCCCAGTTAGCTATGCTTGAGGGTATGTTAACGACAGTTTGCACTTTATAATTTTGTATCTTAGATTAACTGAGAGTTGGCTTTTAATTGAATCTTCATGTTAAGTCACTTTAGGAGTAGAGTGATCTTTCATTTATCTCACCAGAAATGTTAATGAAGTGCTGGGTTACGGTTAGATCTCATGTTATTTTGAGTTTTGCTTACCTCAGCTTATATTAACATTTACTACTGATTGAGACCTAAAAAATGAACACATTTTGTACAGTCTGATAAAATGGATTGATTTTACTGCAGTAAATTTCCCATCAGGACACTTCCGATTTCAAATGTAAAAATGATTCTGACTAATTTAAATACATTGTGTCTTTTCTGTGTAACATAAACTATATTAATAAACCACAATCATATGTTCTCTCTGGAAAAAAAAACCACCTGGTTTACACAAATTTAGAGGCGTCTCTGTTTAGTAGCTATTCTATCTCACTTTAACGTATAGATTTTGTCAGCAAGTTTCGAAAATCCTGCTTGAGGTCAAATGGTTATAGAAAATAAACAAATTATGAGTAAAAAATTACTTTTAATAAAGCAAAGTCTGAAATATCACTTGAACAACATTTAACTGTTATAAACATTGTTAATGTCAATAATTACACTCTCCCTCCAAACATGCTTAAAACAAATGGAATAAGAGTAAAAAAATCACATGGTGAATTTTCCTGCATGCAGTTATTATATACGATGTATTATGGCTTGTCTGAGGATTATCAGCCCTTAAGTACACAGAAATGCCTTAAGTAACCTGACATTTCCATCAAGGGAAAAAAAGGCGGAGAATCACTGATGCTCATCAATTCCCAAAGTCACTAAGATTCTCCCACTCTGGTAAAGACACTATTTAATGAAACACCATCACTTGCCCAACAAACTGATGTGCTGACATTAGATTAAAACTATCAGGAGATGACAACTAATGTTGATGTAAGGGAACAGCTTCTGTACATTTAAATTGAAGAAACCCAAAGATTAGTGTCAAGTAAACACTTGTGGTCCAAGTTCCACATTATCACCCTACAAGTTCCAGGCCAGCTGACAGTCAAACAGGCAACAGAAGCTGCAAAAACCTGAGAAATACCATTAAGCAAACACATGCACTTCAGATGGCCATGACAAAATGCTGTTGTTCCACAGCTCACATCCATTTTTACAATTCCCATGGCAACTAACCCATCTTAACTTTCCTCACAAAGACTGCAAAGTATTTTCTAAAAGCTTTTGTATTTATGCATGTAGAAGGAACTTTTTCTTTTATGCTAAGTGTATGGAATACAGCTTCCCTTAGAGAATACAAAAAGGTGGCTCATATCAATACAGATTTCCCAAGAAGAGCTTAAATAAGACTTAAAAAGTAGCCAACCTAAGGCTATATAGGCTACATATGTACACCTGTACATAAGGACCACCACCCATAAGCAGCTGCATCTCCTCCAATTTTAAAAAATGAAAGTAGCTGCTAGTGGCACTCTGTTTCCTCCACTGTGAGCAAATTGCTATGTTCTCCAATCAGAGGCAAAGAATAAGCTTATTCAGATTGGAGTTACCTGCTAATAAAACACCTGTGTACTATGTGCTTTCTGCTAGTAAATGAGGAGGCTTTCTGGGAACATTCAGTAGAACATGACAAAAGATCACTACTTAAGGTGAAGCTTTTCCATGTTAGACAGGTCTTCCCAAAGCTGTCAAGGATTAAAGAGAGACTGATCCACTTTAAATCACAACAATCCGTGGAGTCTTGGATGAAAGAGCATATACTTGGTTTTGATTCAGAGAGTCCTAAAGAGAGATTTGTATGGTTCCTTTTTGGAATAATAATTCTTCATATCACTTCCTGAAAAAGCAAAACTTGTAAAGCTGGATGTGGCAGCCCAGGCTGGAATCAGATCTTGCTAGGGAACAGACAAAGAGGAATCAGAGGGAGGAAAAAGTTGGGGCAGTTAACCATACTGTGTCTCCAAAGAGATCCAGAAGACCCAATCACTCTTTAGCTTCTTGAGTGTGCTGACAAGACAGCATAACTTTTACTATTGCTTCAGCTGGTATCTTCATGTCACAGAGGCACTGTGGCATATCCTAAACAATGAGTATTAATGCCCTTATAAGTAACTTTGAGTGCCAGGATCAGCGTGCTGGGGAAAAAGAAGATACAAACTTACCCTATACTTTTTTTCCTCTAACATTTTGTTAAAGTAAATGTGTAAATTACTGGTTGCTGGATAACCTCCCATTTACCATAAGCACTAAGGACGAGGAAACAGAGTGAAAACTCAGGGATTTTATCTTCCTGCCATCAATAAAATGGAACAAAGATGGCTTCTCAGCCCTTTATGCCCCCACAGGTATAAAGAATATAAACTCACATTCACAGATTGCATGCACATGAAGAGCATGAACCAAGAAAAGAAAATACACAAAGAAACACTGGGGGAGCAATTTCACAGAAGCACAAAGGCCTCTGACAAATGCATACAGGTCAAGCATAGAGCAGTCAGGAGAACTAACCAACTCATTTACTGTCTGCTGAGCCATTAAGCTCTGACACCCTCCTTCAGTAACCCTTCAGTGGAAGTTGCAAGATGTCTTTTAGAGAACAGCACCACTTATGTCCTGAACACTGGACTGTGCTAGAACAACAAATGATACATTCCTGTGTTACAGAAACACTTGTCAAATAGGAAACAAAGCAACACGCTGTCTGGTACCCTAGTAGTACTTTCATTTACACAAAAAAGATTACGTTCACTAAATGAGAAGTCTGAAAAGAAGAATAAGATAATGCTTCAATTTACAACTCTGTTTTCTATTTGATGTCTATTTTTGACCCCTTGCTCAATTATCTTTCTGGCTTAGACTTGGGAAACGTATTTGCAGCGTACAGGAAGAAAAATAGAATGTGTGACCATTGTTAGACATTTAGGAGTTCACACAGAATACATAGATAGGGCATGCAAAATATAACAGGAATGTTAAATCTAGAGAAATCGTCCCAAGACATTGGTTTTACTTACCAGATTGGAAGTGGGGATATTTGCAAGAAAAAACAAGTGCACAGCAAGTATCATTGTTTAACATTTGTGTACACTACAAGGCAGACTGATGTCAACAAGCATACTGTGCATTGTACAGAAGTAATTTATTCTTACAGTACCACAAACAAACTGAAATGACCTAAATTCACGATGAAAGTATTTATACAGACACTTGTACACCGATTCATATCATTATATAACTTTCATTTTCAAAATTAAGCTTAAAGAAGCATAAATAAAAAAACATGCTAACAAAACCAGATTAAGAATACCCATGATGCAAGTAAAATTACCAGACTTATTAAGGGAGATGGTCACTATTACAATCATAGTATAATGCATAAATTATGCTTCTATGTAAAAACATATAGAACCACATCAGCAAGGGTTAGGAAAACTTATTAAGCACTGCTGAATGACAGCCTCAGGAGTAAACTCTTTATAAAAATATATGCATATGTAATAGCATACTGTTTCTTACCGTACTTCTATCCTTCAAAAGCTTTTCTATCACTTCAATTAACATTTCCTTTTGCTCTGGATCAAGACTAGAAGGAAAAATAAAAATTCTTTTTACTCATTTAGTCAGGCATATCCAAAATCAAAAGAAGGTAGGTTCGTTGACCTTTAGACACAAGCTGGGAACCAAGAGCACTGAAGAAACTACTTCCAGAAAAATCAAGTATACCAAAGAACTGACTGTAAAAGAACTGACTGAAAAAAAAGTTGATCATGGAATATAGAATTGAACCAAAGGAGGTTAAAATTAAATTATAAATATTATCTTTATGTTATGCCACTTAAGTGTGTTTTATAAGAAATTTAATACTTAAAATTTTTAGGATTTAAGAACATTAAGACAGGCCAACCTACTAGGGAGAACTTGACTGAGCTTCAGATACTAAGTCACAAGGATCTCTGTGGTTTTGCAGAAGGTAATTTCAGTATGAATTAATTCAGCAGTGAATGAACATCAGGACAAAGGAGAATCATGCCTTTACTACCTAATTATCAATGGAACACTTCAGGTCAGACACTGTGTTAGCTTCACTAATTTTAGTCAGAAGTATTGGAACACCAAAATTTGGACATCGTATTCAAGTGTACCTATACAAAGTTGGGTGTGCAAGCTGATGAAAAATAGACTACTTGAAGTCCTATATAAATAGGAAAAACAAAAGTTGCAAACAACAATCTTTGTACTGTCCTTTGCTTTTTAGGTAGGTAAGGCCCAACTTTTCGTTCCAGCTGCTTCTTCACCATGGGTCTCTAGAGCGTGGAAGAATTCAAAGCCAAGGCAGAAGAAAATACATAGAGAAAGTGGGTACAAAGAGCCATAAAGATATCTAGTTCTATGCCTTTGAAAAGTCATTTCAACATGGATACAATTACAGATACATAAGGAAGTATTTGGTGACCATTGTACACTTCAGTTTTAATGCTCAGTGATGAAATGCCCTAATGCAGAGTATATCCTTTCCAGCTGCAGAGTCACAATGTGAGTATCTAGTTGCATACTACTTTACTAAGGCTCTAATACCTGGCAACACCAGAACAAGCTAAATGGACAACAAAACTTTGTTAGAAGCCACCATCAGCATAAGCAAAGCAAGAGTACATTGTTCCATAACTACTTTTATGATCACCTTTTGTTCCAACTTCTATTGTTGTCAAAAAAGATTTACTGGATCTTCTGTCAAGGACCAAAACCTCCAGAGGAAAAGCCAGAAGTCTTTCTAGTAAGTCTTATTTCAAATTTTCAAAATTGGTGTAAAATTTAAAGAGAGAAAGAAGTGAGTACTTATTACTAAGAAACTTTGAAAAATACCAACGTTATGTGATCAAGAAAATCTTCTGTAAGGGCTTCGATAACTGAATTCACATTCCTCCCCCTCCTCTTCCCTGATGTGTTAGATAAGGAAGGCAGAATTCTTGGAGATAAAATACAAGAACAGGCTAAAGAGCTGAGAGTGATCTGCTCCCATTATGGTACCTACTAATAGTACAGAATCTATTAATACTAGCGACAGGACTTTTAAAATGTCCTTTTCCAAATTTCACTGCAAGCAAGTACAAGTACACAGTAGAGATTTCTATTGACAGACAGAAAATACTAATACCTTTGAAATGCACTCCATGTGAAATAAGCAAGAGGTCTGACATTTTCAATTATAAAATTACTCCAATGTACCTGGCAATGTTGATTGCATTGGGCACAAATGTTGCTGCTCACACTATGCCTAAAATCTTTTCTGTTTGATATGTAAGCTTCCTGCTGTTAAGATTGATTGAACCACTTATGAACAAGCTCATCTACATCAGACATCCATCCAAACACCATGACACTAAATGCAAGGAAGACTGGAATATCGAACTTGCATCCCGAAGTCTGATTGGAGCACTAACTTAATTACAGGACTATCAAACAGGTAGGGAAGTCATGGAAAGCAAAATATAAATGCATCATACAGGCACTGTTAGAATAAACTGTTACTTCTTCTTACTCAAACACTCAGAGAAGATCAAGTAATTAGATGTAGAAGAGCATATATGTTAACTGATCTTCACACCAAAAATCCATCCCCTTCAGAATTCTGATTTTGACCAACTTCAAGAGAAGTCTTCTGAAATGACTTGCTCATTACAAAGGCCCAAAGACAGCTTTGCCACCAGTATACAATCTGTATCGCTGATTTGTTGAGCTACCACTCATGACCCTTGCTGAAACATCTGCTGAGACTGCCTGCTAAAGACTTATTTGCAGGCAAGGCAACTGGTCCCACCTGTGAACAGGTTAATTTTTTAGTCTCTTCACCAGTTCCCAGGACTGCTGCTTCTTCAAGTGATCCAGAAAACTACAGTCTTTCCCTTGGTCCTGCAGCAAATCAGTGCTATCAAATATGGCATTCGAAAAGTAAATTTTGAAAATGTGAAAAAACTGCTTTCTATAAGCAGTTCCCAAACCCTACTACCATTGTGAGTTACAACTCCATTCACAAGTAACCATGAAGCTTGTTCTAGTCCAGGTAAGGTGGAATTTGCAGCTACAGCAGTTTGAAAACTTGCATTATGATGCCTAGGATGCTTGCATGAAGTGAAAACTTGTGACAGATGTACATGCCCTCTAAACCATTATGGAAACCTTGACAAAACATTAGTTTCTTTAATTTTCCTTTGCTACATGAGCTACGTGTTTATTTTACTAACAGTCATGGAATTCATGAATTAATGGAAAATAGAACGGAGTCAGGCCAGTTCTTCTAGACTGGGCTGCTGTATTTCTTACCACAAAATATACCTTCTTATGGTAATTGCAAGGGTCATTTCAAAATCTTGCCACTGATGTCATATAAGTATATGATACCATATGAGCCAGAGACAACAAAAAACACAAGTTATATTTGAAGATGAAATTCTATCTGGAGATTGGCGCCTACATCCAGCTACTGTGGGATTCACAGTGCTTGAGTGAAAGGCTAGGGGCATGTGTGTGTCTGACTTGAGGGGGTCTGTAGCAGCAAGTGCTGTGGGGTTGTAAGCATTGTGCACTTGTATACGCCACTGCCACCGACTGGGGGGACTCTGGATCCAAGGCCAGTTACTGCAAAGACTGAGCACCTAGGGTCATTACTGGGGGATCCATACTGTACATATAGGTCCACTAACAGGCCTGCATCCTGATCAGGTAGAGAGGGTAACAGGATAAGGCTGCTGGTGCTTGTTTTGTCTGCATGAGTCCTGTTTTCTGTCTGTGCTGATCTTCATAGCTGGCTGCATGCATTTGTGCTGTATATGTGTGTGTTCGTGCTCTTTAGGAATACTGTTTGTGCTCTTTAGGAATACTCGCTACTGGTTGGTCTGAGAGGGCAGGGAACTGCAGCAGCTTCAGGCTACTTGATTTGGAATGCCTAACACTGATCACCCTCCTCCTCAGGTGAAATAAAAGGAAAATAAGTAGTAGAATAAATGCCTGCCTTTGTTTTGGAAAGGTACAGGTGTTGTGGCCCCCACTTGTGTAAGCCAGTACCCACCTCTTCATAAGAACTCTTCAACAACAAGATTTCTGAAGAGTGAAGAGGAAGATTTGGATTTGCATAGACAGAATTTCTGTGAGTTAGTATGTACTTGTCACCTGTACTGCAGACTACAGCAAATGCCTTCAGGATGAAAGATACAGATGCTAAACATTGAAATCTTAAATTCTGAGAATACCCATCAAAATAGTTCCTACACAGATGACAATAACTGGTATATTAAAAACAAAAAACAGTATTATCAGTTTCTTTTTTGTATCTCCTCATAGTTATTCTGTTGTTCTACCAAGCCACTTGCCTGAACTCTAACCAAATCAGTTTAGCAATGGAACGTCTACATATACTTTATACTTTTTAAGAAACAGATCTGGTATATAAGACACGTCAACACCCCTCGCAGTCTTAATAAACATAGCCCACAACTATCTTAAAATTGCTTTTCAGTATTTGTCAGAATCACTTACCTGTACAGTTTTTGTATTGCATGGGCTGCATTCTTCCTCACATAAGGAGATAAATCAGAAGAGGCTTCCTTAATAGCAAGCATCATAATAGGAACAATAATTGGGACACGGATACTGGACAAAACTCTTAGAGCGCTTGCGCGGATTAACTGATTAGGATCCTAAAGAATGGAAGAGAAGGGGAGAAATAAAATAAGATAGTGCACACACACATCATTAAGTTCTCTGCAGTGTTTACACCAACTAGTGACCATACATTGAAACACGTAATCTATCAGACAGGCTTTCAAGCTAAAAAGTGCCAAACTTCAAACTAGAAACTTTCCAACAATGAAAAAAAAGTAAAAGAAAGTAAGAAAGAAAACATTGAAACACTATGAAAATCCAGAAACCTGGCAAAGGAAAATATTAACATAATTCACTTTCTCAAGCAAAATACAGGAATGATGGATAAAAGACTAGCATTTTATTTAATGATCTGAAACATTTTTGGCAATACAAGTGGAATTCAGATATCCTAAAAAACACACTTACCTCAGTTTTATCACTTAAATATAAGAACTGACAAATGATAATGGGGTTCTCAGTTGCAAGAACCTGAGTGGGAGTGTCGCAACACACCAATTTTAAGCTTTACCACAAGAATAAATATATATATTATAAATATAAACTGAAGCCAGTAATGAAATGAATTTTCTTAAGAACATGTCAAAATGTTTTGATACTTTCTTCTGTTTCCTACCCTCTCTTCTTTTGTCCCACTACTTGCTCCCCTTTTATAATGCTAGCATTAGCTTGGAGATCCAACAATAGGATAAAACATCTGTATTTGGAGGAAGTGCTACGTAAACCTCATTCATTAATCATGGCTTGGGACACATGGGAAAAACGTTGCTTAATCATGTACTAAATCCTGTAAAATCTATCAAACTGAAATTGCAGCAGCAGTAATTCAGTGCACTGTCTGTCAGAAGGGCCCTTCCCAAAGAACATTACTCCCAAGGACTGAAAGTTGGCAATACAGCTTTTCAGACTGGTATTGTATCAGTTCATCAAGGTTCTCAAAATTCCTATGTCTCAGCAGCTTCTGAGTAGTTTTTGGAAAAACTACTTACTTTTATCAGGGTTTGCAAACCTTATCTCCAATCACACAAGTTTAAAACAACCTAAAAAGATCTTTCTAAATAGTGAGAAAAAAATCTGAACACATAAAGCTGAATAGTCTTCATTACAAAAAGAGAAACAAAACATTAAAAAAAAAAAAAAGAACAGAGTGAATTAATTACATTTGCCTATCTTCCACAGCAGGCTTAGTAATTTCCTTAGTTGCTGAAAATTTCAGCTAGCTTTGAGTCTACCTCCTTGCCACACCACCATTTCTTGTGTTACTCACAGCCACAACATTTCAGTTACCCCCTCTCCTTTTGTTCCCACTATTCACAGCTTTTTAAAAAGTTATGTCATGAGAAGTGTTCACTGTATACACATCTTATTAAAAACACAGGATATAAACTCACTTGAATTTTATTTTAGTTTTTCATGGCAGTCACATATAAAGGTAGTACACCTGACACTGAGATAAATCAAGCTGGAGGGAAAGGGGTATAAAGCTTTCTAGTCAGTTGTGGGATGCTCCTACAGTTGCACACCTGTTGCTCCGATTGAAACATCTTCCAACAAGATGCAAGGTCTGGGTCACTGACATGACAGAAATTAAGTATGAACTTAAAGTAGCCTTCCAAGAAGACTACAAGAAAAAAGAAGAAACCTTCCCTTATTACAAAAACTGGCTAAATTTAAGGACAGACACTTCATGAATCTTTCTTTTCTCCATGGTCACACTTCAAAGGCTATCCTAATATTTTTTCTCTAGTCTCACTCCCCATTGTCATCTGAATTTGAAATGAAATAGTATAAAACGCTACCTCTTCAGTGCTTTTAATAAAGAAATAGTATGTGCAACACACTGAATATTTTAATTTAGGTACTAGTATCTTCCTTATGTTCCAATTCTCTGTTGTACACAAAGATCTTTCACACAAACTAAAAGGAACACAGGTGGTTCAAAGTAATTAACAGGGCCTTCTTCCTACATATATAAGCTACTTTGGAAAGAGAAAAGGCATTCCAGAAATTAAATGCTGGGCATTTGAATTTGACAGCATCACTCTGTTGCTTTTCTTTAGTGTTGCTTTTCTTTACTTCATGCAGGCTTAGTTGCTTGACGAGGTTTGAGGTAGCACAAAAAACTGTGTCAATGACGTAACTTGAACCTACTTTATCAGATGCAGATATTTGCATACTTTAGTTTACCAGACTATACTTACACAGATACTTTTATTTTTTGTGATACCAGCTAAAAACTATCTATAAAATGTTGTTTGGTACTCACTCACTTTTAAAGCACGCTGAAAAGTACTGATGGACAGTAATGCTAGATCTTGCTGCTCCTCTGCGTAACGCATCAGGTAAACATATACAAGCTTTTTTATCTGAAAAGAAAAACACAATGAACATCATTATCAGAAAGTTTCAGAATTCTATTAAACTAAGATTGCACATTTTCATTAACATTTTTGTCACCCTTTTTTCTCTGAAGGAAGAGTTAATACACTGCTGGAATACTCACATGCTTCTCAAATGTCTTACGATTTACTGTAATTCTTTTAAAAGAAACTCCCTGAGGTGTCGCACTATTATCTAATTAACCATACCGTCAGATGAAGGCTAATAACACAAAGTACTACTTTATATTATCAACTAGTAAATAAAGACTCGATTAACCTAAGAAGTTGACATGTGGCGACTAACCACCTGAGCACTCCTCATGTTTTTTTCTTATGGAAAACAGGTTAAACTGCAATAGCCAAGGATTTCAAACAAGTCCATTTTACTTTACCCTGAAACTCGAAATCAATTACTTTAATGCATTTGAAAGAGAACATAACTTCCAGCTGAAGTGTGGTAACTTACACTATTTAAATACGATTAAAAGAGCACTTCTGTCTGTGTCTTGGACAAAAGCAAAGGGTATTAGAACCACATTTGCCTGACTACAAGCATTCAAAAGGTGTAGCCAACATAAGCAAAGGATGTAATGTTCAAAGATAAAGAAAACCTCAGTATAATTTTGGGGGCAGGAGGGTATTCAATTTAGTTCACTTTACCCCCTCATAGCCACTGTATGCCCAGGAAGCACTGAAAACATTTTTTACATTTGAGTTGTAAACTGACTATTGGGGTTTATAATGGAAAATTCTGAAAGACCCTCAACTACAGCTGTGCTATAATTACTGTCACTATCAGAAGATGTATCTTTGTGCCAATTCTGGCAAAAAGCATAATATTAAATCACAGAAGGTTACACCATACTAAATTATTTGTTGTTCAGCTATAGACAAGCAGCAATCAACATTGACCACAAGAGGCCTATGTACTGAATGACTGCAGGTGTGCAAAGAAAGCCTCCTTTCCTTGAAACCACTCTGCGACTAGAAATGGAAGCACTTAGAGGTTCGTGACTACACTATTCTTTTACCATTTACCTTCATTCAATGTTAAAATGTTCCTTTCTATAAAACTAATCATAACAGGAGCACATTAGGCTTGAGGAACACAGGCAGATTTGTTTAATTATTTTTTCAATATAAGCACATCAAACTCCATGAGTTATTGACCAAGACTTATTTTTGTTCTATACCACCAATTGTTTATTAGGTCACTTTTTGTATCCTTACCATCCATGATATGATGCACATAATCAAGTTGAGGTCAGTGTTTACTTATAAAAACAAAAATCACAAGGCACTTCTGTAAACAATAAGATGCCCTTTGCTTCTCTTAAAACAAATGAACGTGTTCTACTGCTGTTTCACCTCCATTTCCCTGTATCAGAGCATTCAGCCCTGAGGAAAAAAAAAAAACACAAAAAAAAACAAACACACAAAAAAAAACAAAAAAACAAAAAAAAACAAACAAACAAACAAAAAAAAAAAAAAAAAAAAAAAAAAAAAAAACCAAACAAAAACAAAAAGAAAAAAAAAAAAAAAAAAAGAAACCAACCAGAAGCCATTTCTGGACAGGAAAGACACTCAGATACAAAGTCACTCAGATGAACTGATATATTTTATGTTACTGCATTGCAGCAGCTTGTAGGGACAGATGTGTTTAAGAATTCGTAGGTACAGGGAAAAATTTGGCAAAACCTTTTCAGAAAACAGTGTCAGGATCAATGTACTAAGACTTCGACTTAAACCAGCAATTTCTCATCATTTCAAAAGCATCCTAAAAACTGGACCATGAGAAAGTTCTGAGAACCAAAAGTGCTAACTAGATGGCTGCAAGCATAGCTACATTATAACCTAAACATGTCATCTAACTAACCTTCATACAGAAATTAGTCAGCTGGCTTTACTGAATGCCCTTATGTCTTTGCAGTTTAAAAGTCCCTTCCTGCACAAATATGCTAGCACTAGATGGTGGAAAAATAAGCAATGACAGAATTTTAACTACAGCACAGAGGAAGACATGTGAATTCATGTAACTGTTTGCTTTAAAATATAAGAAAATGCACACAAAATATTAACAGTGAAAGGCTTCTGCCAATTAATGTCAGGATATGTGATTAAACCTTGTCTGCACACCCACAAAGGAACACAGAGGGACAAGGTGGATGGAGGAGTGTTTGCAAGTAATATCCTGCCCCAACTTCTCACAAGCCCATGACAGCAACCAGGACCCCAGAAATGCAGAGAGACACAGTAGCAGGAGAGAAAACAAATTCAGGACTCAGCAGAAAGGACACCCTGTCAGGCCCTCTCCCCTCCTCCACCTCAGGAGAGCCTCAGCTCCCATCTCCAGGTGTTAAACCCATCAAGAGTCAACACCAGAGCACCTTCTAGACTGAAGGCCTTTTCTGCACACAGGTACAGGACGCAGATGAAGAGAATTTCAGGATTGCACAAGAATTTTCATGGGATGTTTTGCGGAGAAATTAAAGTAAAGAAGAAGCAGGAAGAATCTATAGGATCATGTGACTAGCAAGTCAGACATAATAGAGGAATAAGCAGACAAAAGCGGTTGAACACTGTACACAGTTTGTTGGTTGGTACATCTACACTTCTGTGCCCTGCACCTGATCACAGAATCGTAGAACAGTTAGGGTTGGAAGGGATCTTAAAGATCATTCCCCACCTGCCTTAAAGGTCCAACCCCCCTGCCATTGGGCAGGGACACCTCCCACTAGACCAGGTTGCTCAAAGGTCATCCAACCTGGCCTTGCACATCTCCACGGATGGGGCATCCACAGCTTCCCTGGGCAACCTGTTCCAGTGTCTCACAACCCTCACAGTTAAAAATTTCTTCCTAAGATCTCATCTAAATCTACCCTCTTTCAGCTTCAAACCGTAACCCCTTGTCCTATGACTACACTCCCTGATAAAGAGTTCCTCCCCATCTCTCCTGTAGGCCCCCTTCAGGTACTGGAAGGCTGCTATAAGGTCTCCTCGGAGCCTTCTTTTCTCCAGGCTGAACAACCCCAAATCTCTCAGCTTGTCCTCATAAGAGAGGTGCTCCAGCCCTCTGACCAATTTCATGGCTCTCCTCTGGACTCGTTCCAACACATCCATGTCTTTTTTATGTTGGGGGTCCCACATCTGAACACAGTACTCCAGGTGGGGTCTCACAAGAGCAGAAGGGGAGAATCACTTCCCTCAACCTGCTGGCCACGCTTCTTTTGATGTAGCCCAGGATCCAATTGGCCTTCTGTGCTGCAACTGCACACTGTCAGCTCATGTTCAGTTTTTCAGCTGCCAACGCCCCCAAATCCTTCTCCTCAGGGCTGCTCTCAAGCCATTCTCCACCCAGACTGTATTTGTGCTTGGAATTGCCTCGACCCACATGCAGGACCTTGCACTTCGCCTTGTTCAATTTCATGAGGTTGGCATTGGCCCACCTCTCTAGTCTGTCCATGACCGTCTGGATGGCATCCCTTCCCTCCAGCGTGTTCAGTGCATCACACAGCTTGGTGTCATCGGCAAACTTGCTGAGGGTGCACTCAAATCCACTATCCAGGTCACCAACAAAGATGTTAATCAACACCAGTCTCAATACCAACCCTGTGGACCACCACTTGTCACCAGTCTCCACTTGGACATTGAGCCATTGACCAGAGCTCTCTCAATGCCACCGTCTAGCCAGCTCCTTATCCACTGAGTGGTCCAACCATCAAATCCAAGTCTCTCCATTTAGAGACAAGGATGTCATGCAGGACAGTGTCAAAGGCTCTGCACAAGTTCAGGTGGATGACGTCAGTTGCCCTTCCCTTATCCAACAATGCTGTAACTCCGTTGTAGAAGGTCACCAAGTTTGTCAGGCATGATTTGCCCTTAGTGAAGCCATGCTGTCACCAATCAAGTCCTTGTTTTCCATGTACCTTAGGATACTTTCCAGGAGGATCTCCTCTATGATCTTGCCAGGCACAGAGGTGAGACTGACTGGCCTGTAGTTCCCTGGGTCTTCCTTTTTTCCCCTTTTTAAAAACGGGGGTTATGTCTTCCCTTTTCCAGTCAATGGGAATTTCACCATACTGCCATGACTTCTCAACTATGATGGACAGTGGCTTAGCACCTTCCTCTGCCAGTTCTCTCAGGACCCATAGATGCATCTCATCAGGTCCCATGGACTTGTGCACCTTCAGGTTCCTTAGATCGTCTCAAATGTGATCTTCTCCTACAGTGGGCAGTTCTTCCTTCTCTCAGTCCCAGCCTTTGAGTTCTGATCAGCACACTCTGTCATATTTTCTCATTAAATTCAATTTTTAATTATTTTCCTTGGTGAGCTACTCTCTATTCAGCATGAAGATGCATGTATGTGACAGCAACTACAGTCAGGCCACAGGCTGGAAGGCCCATGTGTTCATGGGCACCAGCAACCAGAGACACTAGAGTGAGGGTGCTTAAATGCAACTCCAGCAACTGGAATGGGACCTCAAATCATAAGGGTCCCTATGTCCATGGTGGGACCACAGGTGCAAGAAACTGAAGAGAGTGGAGAATGTGAAACCAAGCACAAGCCCCTGTGTTTGTGGTGCCAGTGACTGCAAAGGGTGCAGAAGTATCAGTGGATCAAGCTGCACTAACTGATAAGTAGGTGAAGTGGCCTGGGAAGGAGGTAGGTAAGGGCATGGGCATCTAAAGGCAAGACCACAGGAGGACTTTGCTACGGCATAGACCAGAGGAGGCCCATCCAGCTGCCAGAGAAACGAGATGACCTGCAGCTGTCTGGGGGCAAGAGCCATGTGCTTGTGTGCATCTCTCCAAGGGCATAACCCCTGGGGGCTGGCTAGCAGACAACCAGGGGAGTTCTGGCCCCATCCAGTTGCATGTGCACAGACGTGCATATGCCTGTGTGTCTAAGGGCAAGACCACACAGGGCTAACTACTGAGGGACGAGAGGCATCCTGGTATACATCCTGTTCATGTATGTATAGCAGTTTGTATCAGCAACTGAAATAGAGCTGCAGCCTCAGGGGCTCATATGTCCAGGAACAGGGCTAACTGGGACCCAGGGGCCAGGCCCTAGGCAGACCCTGTCTCAGCGCAGCTGTCGGAGGGATCCACACTGTACATATGTATATACAGACTTCCACTAGAAAATCTTCATCTTGAACTGACAAGCTGCTGGTGCTGTTGAGTTCATGTGAGTACCCTGTGTCAACTTATGTGGCTGCCTCTGTACATACATACTTCGTGTGTATATACACAAAGCATGTGTGCATGCGCACACCTGCTAGGAATACAGTCCTGGTCTCAACTCTGGTTGGGCTGGAAGCCTGCAGATGAAGCAGTCTTTCCTCTATTGGGCTAGTGGTTCCAGCCCTAACAGTTAAAAGCACTCAAGATGAATAACACCGTTCAAGACACTTCTCTTTGGTGTAAGGTATGTCTGTTCAAAACTGCACTTACAGTACTCATAACTTACAAACACTAGTTAAAGAGGAAGAGAATATTTAACTATTCTGATTCCTTGCCCCATTTCCTTTTATCACCTACTATTAAAAGTACAGTTACAATTTCTAATATTATTTTAATGCAATAAGTTCTGAAAGACTCTGAATTGTCATCTTTGCACACTTATGCCTCCTTGACTTACCAGAGCTCAGTACTTGGCTTCAGCAAAATCATAGAATCATAGAATCA